CTCCATTTGGTATAAAAATGTACAGTTCGGTGTATGGGAATGTCAACAAGCCGAAACCGCACTCGCAAAACCGCACGAGAGAGAAAAAATATGGGTTTATTAATTTGCACTTTTATCCCCCTTTTTTTCAGTGTTTGTTTGTGCAACATACTGAACTCGGTCATCGGTTGATAAAGAATTATTAAATTAAGTATATAGATGTAAAAAGGAAATGCAAAATTACGTGGGAAAGAAAAGTTTTCCCATTCATATTTCGAAGAATTTTTTTTTCAATTTTTCCACATTTTTTTTCGCATTATATTTTTCAGTATTTGTATGTAATGTGTTGAATTTAGTCATCGGTGGATAAATTTGTAATTGAATTAAGAATTTAGATGTAAAAAAGAAATGGAAAATTACGTGTAAAAGAAAAGTTGCATTTCCACCAGATTTTTTCACTAATTTTGCATTCGATTTTTCAGAATTTGTTTGTAATCTATTTAATTCAGTCATCTGTTGGTAAATAATAATTTAGATGTAAAAAGAAAATCGAAAATTATGTGAAAAGGAAAATGTTCCCATCCATATCTCGATCGGTTTTTTTTTTATGTAATTTTTCAATGTTTATGTTGAACTCGATAATAACTAAATTAAGAATTTGGATGTTAAAAGGAAATGTAAAATTACTTAGAAAAGAAAAGTTTTCTCATTCACATTTCGATGCTTTTCATCAGAATTATTTTCTCACTTTGTGCGTTCAAATTTTCAGTGTTTGTGTGTAACATATTGAAGTCAGTGTTTAATGGATAAATAATAATAAAATCAACTATTTAGATGTAAATAGGAAATGGAAAATTACATTAAAAAGAAGTTTTCACATACATTTTTCGCATTACATTTTAAAAATCTTTATTTATATTAAACTCTATTATCGTTGGATAAATTAGAATTAAATTAAGAATTTAGATGTAAAAAGGAAATGGAAAATTACATGCAAAAGAAAAATGTTGCCATTCATATACATTATTTACGCGAATGCAATTTCCCTCACATTTTTTTTTTACAATTTTTTTTGTGTTCGACCGTCGGAAGGAAAAGCGACGTGGAAAGAGGATAATTGATTTTCGCTCCTCTCATCATTTCTATTTTTAATGCGATACGCTTAATGGCTAATTGTCCAATAAACTTCTCTTCTCTCTCTCTTTTTTTTCCATTCTTCTTGTTCTACACTCGCGAAAACAATACACTCCAGGTGTTGTTCGTTAATTAGTTACTGTTTCCACTAATTGACGTTCTCAGGACGATTTCCATATGAAATTCAAGATCAACATTTTATGTTAAATCTTGAACCTTTCACAATAATTGATTTGTACTTAGCAATGAAAAATAAAACGCAACTTATAACGTGCAGTTCTCATTTTAATTACAATTATTTGATTACATCAATAACTTCGATAATCACGAAAACAAATACAGAAAAACCTCCGCACTACTTGAAACCGGACTAATCGAAGACTTTACAATCATAAGACATGAAAATAAACAGCACAAATGTTGAAATTTCCAAACCGTACTATAGCGAATAAGCACTGATTTAAGCCTGATTTACTATGCGAGGTATTGTTGTACTTGGAACATCTTAATATTTAGAAATTTTACTACAATCAAGTAAGAATTACAACAGAAGTAAAAATCCAATAATACACCTACTATAAGACTCAAGAAAATGTTATGAAATATACAATTTATGTATAAGAAAAATATCTTGAGTTGCGAAATTTTATAGTAAATTAATTGCGAAAATTACGCACTGTTTGAAACTAAATACATACATACTTAACCCGAACAAATAATTTGCTGTATATTAATTTTGTTCAAATAAAATTTTGTTTGTTTTGAAATTTTCAAATGAAATCTAGTGAATCCGCACTAATCGAAGCAGCACTAAGCAAGAAATTGATTGATGTATTTCAAATATAGAATTTTATTAACAAAAAGAAAATAATTATTAAAATTTTTCATTTTTTTTCTTGTTATTGTTGCTTATAAAAAAAATGTGTTAATTAAAAAGTAATAATTAAATCATCTTTAACTACAATTATTATCTAAATTTAGTACTGCAAATGATTACTAAATGTTAAGCAAATAAAAATTACCGTGATTTAAGCAGACGTTATTTGCAAAACAATGGAAGAAAAAAACAAATACGAGATTTCACAAGCGATGAATTATCCATGTATAGTATACAAAACTTGATTCCAATAATCAGTGGAAACTAATTTATTTTATATTCTTTAAACGATTTATTTGATATATGTAAACGTTCATTCCAACTTACTTAATTATTTGCAACAAGAAAACAAGACATGTTTTATTTGTTATTAAAACATGTTTAGTTTTGGAAAATTATGAAAATGTTTTTTTAAGAAAAACAACGGTTTAGTAACAATTGGATTCTCGTTTTTTGCACATTAATTATTTTCTATTTTTATTTTCATTTTTACAATTATATAACGGCAAACGTTCGCAACGTAAAACATAAAGTAAAATTTATTTCAACTGTTTTATTTATATTTTTTATCATTGAATTATCATTGGCAGTCGATGAATGTACTTTCCAATTACATAAATAACAATATCGTAGTTTTATTTTCATTCTTAGAAACTTTTGTCAATATGTTTTTTCAAAATAATTATAGCAAGAAATTACTGAAAGTTTACGTAAGAATTTATTAAAATTTACTTCAAAAAATGAAATAATTTCAGTTAATTTAGCAATTTTAAGTTAATGGAAATAAAACATATTGAGGGTAAAAAAATAAATCAATTTCTTAAAACAAAAATTTCATAAATATTTGTAAGCACTTTTTCTACTTTAATTATTTAATGCAATTTAATAAATATTAAATTGATATTTCATATGAAACAGTTTATATAAATCATAGCAGATCTCATTTATTTTGTACAGAGAGAAAACCGGACAGAAATATCACGGTTAATGGCCAATGCATACATAATTCATCTAATAATCATTATTATAATTATTATATTAGGTTGTATAGAGTTGATATAGCCATTAAAAATATTAATAAATTCATGAATGAAATATGAATTAAAAAAGAGTTTGCATTATGAAAGTTGTATTAATAAAATTGAAGTTATTAGAAAATGATTGAGACTTTTATATGTACATACATTTATTGTTATTTTAGTGTGTATTTTTAATCATCCATTATACTTTATTGTCAAATTTATTGATTATATAATATTGATGTATTTTCAGTCTATAATGTAAGAAAAATATGCAATTTAACTAAACAATTTAACAAACTTAAATTTTGTAATTTATTGGAAAGAAATATACAAATATTTTTGTGTAGAGAAAATAAATTTCAAAAACTTTGAAACAAGTTTCATTTTAATTATATAAAGTAAAGCAACATTAATTGTATACTTCAATATAAATATAGATACAAAGTCTACACTTTAATTACATAATGTAGGTAAATAGTATTGTTTCTCAACTTAAGTTTAATTCACTGAAAGTAAATGATTGTAAAAAAAAGCAATAATAAAAATTATTTGTAAATGTTTGGTTTATGCAGAAAAAATAAACAATTAAGTATTAAAAAAATAGAAAATAAATGAGTTGATTCGATTTCTAGAAAGGATTTGAAAAAATATAAATTGAATAAATTCTATTGATTCCTGATCGCAAGCTAATTTTCTGCATGTTTAAATGTAACTGATTTTAAATAGTTTGGTAAGAATAACAATTTTTTTTTTAAATTATTATGATTTCTTGGATTTTGTAGAAAAAATAATTAAGTTAAGAATTAAGTTTTAATAAAAAATAAAATCATGTTTTATAAATTAACCAGTTTATAACTTGTTCGGTTTTTAAAAGTGTTTAGAGTGGAAAAATTTATTTATTGATAATCACAAATTATTTTTATTGATTTTATCATAAATTAATTGGATGAAATTTAGTTTTACTCAAATGTAATTGATTGTATTGTAATTTTTTGTTGGTATAATAATAAAATACTTTGTAAAATCGGTATAAATACTTGATTTGTGTTGAAAAAGAAATTAATAATTAAGTTTCAGGTAAAAATAGAAAATAAAATCGATCTGTATTAGTTTGTTTAAAGTTGAGAAGAAAAAATGAACAGATTATATTGAATTAATTACAAAAATTTTCAATTTCATTGATTCTGATATAAATTAATTGAAATAAGAAAAATATTTTGTAAAATTGATATAAATTAATTTAATTATGTTTATATGTAATTGATTGTATTATAATTATATTGGTATAATAAAAAATACTTTGTAAAATTGGTTTGTGTTGAAAAAATAATAATAATTTAGTTTTAGGTAAACACAGTTTTAATAAATAATAAAATTGAGTTTCTAATTTGTTCGATCTGTATTAGTTTGTTTAGAGTTGAGAAGAAAAAGTGAATAAATTCTATTGATTGATAACCTCAAATTAATTTACAAAAAATTTAAATTTCATTGATTTTGATATAAATAAGTTGGAATAAGAAAAATATATTGTAAAATGGATATAAATTAATTTAATTATGTTTATATGTAATTTATTCTATTATAATTATGTTGGTATAATAAAAAAAATACTTTGTAAAACTTGGTTTGTGTTGAAAAAAAAATTAATAATTAAGTTTCAGGTAAAAACAGTTTTAATAGAAAACAAAATTGAGCTCAATCATGTTTTATAAATGAATGAGTTTCTAATTTGTTCGATTTGTAGAAAGGGTCTATGAGAGAGGAAGAGGATAAAAAAATAAATAAATAAGCGTTCGATTCGCGCTCCGATCTTAGAATTAGTAACAGTGTACGGGAGAGTTAGAAAGTGTTGATGATTTGATTTGGGCGTTGCGCTTGTCGGTTGAGTAATTAGGATGGTGCGTGTTGTTCTTTTTGTTATTGTTGTTGTTAATGTTGTTAGGTGCTATTTTTGTTGTTGTTAGTAGTATTGGTTTGTTTGTTGTTACCTCTGCCGCTTCTTCCGACGAATCTGAGGTCGTTGAATTTGGCCACCTGGTTCTTCATGACCGCCGTGCAATTCCTCAGCTCCGCACAATAATTCTCATCGTTGCCGGCCTTGACGGTGACGACGGTGCCGTCCCCGACGTCACCTAACGCCACGACCTTAAAGGCCACCGGTAAAGTCTTGTTGGATCGCCAGTGTGTCGGAAGGGCAGAGCACAAAAAGTACGGACTTCCAGTCCGAACGAGCTTATCCGGATGCTCCTGCTGCGCCTCCAGCACCAGATGCTCCGTCCACCAAAGGTCCTGGCTGCTCGCGTAACCACCGGACGAAGGTTCGCACATCCTAGTGCCCACCTTAGGCCAGGCGTCCTCGCTGCTGCTGCTGCCGCTGCTCAGATTGTTTAAGGACACTGGTAGATGCATTCGGGTTTAGCTCTTGACGGCGCGTCAAAGTTCCTCGCGCCTTCTTTCCTTCCGCGAACAACTATTACTGCTGTCCTCTCCGCACTGGGAATCCTTCAGCCGGAAATTAGAGTGTCGCGTGCCGCGGCAAGAATCCCGACCGTTTCCGTCGGTTCCGGCGATCGAGACGAAAAACCATATGAAACTCGGCGCGCGTGTTTCATTGATGGAATGATTCACGGATTTAACTGGAATCGGCCAGGTTTTTACGTCACTCCGCAGCAGCAGCAGAAAATATAATGAAGTATCTATCTATCAACAGATATATCTATAGATATATACCAACAAGAGTAGATTAAACGAAGAATCCAAAAATAAACTGCGATTCTTCCGCACGCTGAAAATCTACAGGTGGCCGCGCGCTCTTTTTCACGAAAAACCGACGCGACCCTCCAGAAATGCCACTTCCGGTTTTCACCGTCCGCACTTCCCATCCAACCAAAGCGATATAATACTAATAGACCACTTCGTCTATCGCCGTTGTCTGTTACTGTTTATGTTTGTTGTTTTTTTTTTCAAATGTCTGTTCCGTTTTGTTTATGTGTGGGATCCAACGTTTACCGTTCGCGGGTTCGTTTGTAACTAGCTCCAAAATGTGTAGTCATTGAATGCATTGTGGTTAGCCTTCCCATTACTCGAGGTTGAGAGGAACATATGCGGTGGTGTTTGAAACAAAGAGAGACGCAGGTAGAAAACGCAGGCGCGCGTTGTTTGTAGGCAGGTTCCTCGTTGCGCTCTCTCGTCCATAATGCTACCAGACCATAAGGAGGATTATTGTTTTTTAGCTCTTCGCAGGACTCCGTTGAAGGAGACCCGATTCTGTGCGCTATGCAGTCCGCGGTTTGCGTTCCAGTTTCCTTTGCCCACATCGAACCGGAAAAAGGCGTTAGAAGGTGGAGCATATCCACAGATACGCGCAACTATTTCACTCTGTTTTATTTTTATTATATATATATATATTTTTTTACCACCAAAACTCCACGACGCTTTTGCGGTCTCCAAATCATCCCACCCGCGTACTACTCACTTATTTAATAATTATAACTACCAAATCTTACAAACAAATATATTACATTTAAACAATTACATAACAATAATATCAATACTTCTAATAGCAAATTATATCTTTTACTACGATACCTCAAACTATTTTTTTTATCAAAATTTTTTATTTTACCTATATTCTATAAAATATCTAAATTTCAAGATTAATTATTAAAAAAATATTTTTATTATTCGACTATAAAAATAAATCAAATCTTTACTTTATACAATATAAGAGTGCACATTATATACGAGACATTTATTATTATATTAAATTATAAAAAAAGATATAAATATTATACTTTATCACTCGTTTTACACTTTTTCGCTTTTACACGGTTTAAAAGAAAATAAATGTTGAAAATAACTTAACCCTCCTTTTACACGATACTAACTTTGCATGTTTTCGTTTTAACACGGTTAACAAAAAAATATATGTTGAAAATTGTGTTTGTTGCATACTTTTCAATTGAAAAGTACACTGTTTTACAATTAAAAAGTTACAATTTCGATTTACACGTTTACATCAGGAACCTATCTACTGTGTAAATAGGAGAGGTGTACTTTTATTTCAACATAAATTTAATCCAAGTCTATAAAATTAATTATTTCCAGTGGATAATAACCATTACTACCATCACATATTTAAGAGAATTTTAGTACATTTCTAAAACTACACATATATCTGCAATGCATATTTACAAACATGACTCAACCATATAAATCTAGTCAACATAAAACTGAGTTCAATTATTAAAATTTGATTTTATTTCTCTAATTTTTTGCAAGAAAGTAAGTACTAATTATAAAACAATTTTTAATTATTGAAGTCCATAAATTCCAGTGACTTTCGAGACTTTTGTTATTTTTTTTAAGAATAAAATACTACCTTAATAATAAGTACTTATAATATTCATTAAATGATAATTATTATAATAATTAAAAATGACAAAACTTTGAGTTTTAAATGCTTTTACTCATATAAATAATATGTGTGATTTCTTATTAAATCATAACATTTACAGACAGAAACACTACAATTTACTACACTACATTACAATTATATTAATTTTTACATTTATGACCTAGTTTCATACATTTTGTATTTAAAGTGTGTTAAGTAATTGAAAAAATATGCACATATTTATTTAAATTGTAAATAGATTATTTTTTGAATATGTTTAATTAATTATAATTAAATAAATATATAATTATCATACAAACAAATACTTCAAATTAAAAATATCTTTAATTATAACAGACCCAATATTTATGTAAATAGTTAATATCAATCCAATTAAATTATTGTTAATTGGATATAATTTAAAATAAAAACAATGCAATGAACAGTCAAGCACATTAACAAATTGGATTATAATTTCAATCTATATTCCATTACAGATTGAAACCTCGCTTAAAGAGTTTAATCCGTTCCAAAATTTCCGGATTTTTACTCGTATAGTGAAACATATTCAAAAATACATACAATATGTGTACACAAGTTATAAAAATGATGTAGAAGACGTGCAATCCGGGACTTCTCTTTTCATCGTTAAGTGAAACGTCGCTCGTTAAGCGAGTCATTTTTCTTACAATTAATTTTGCTTGTTAAGCGAAGTTCCATTGTATATTAAATTTCTTATTTGATTATTGCCAGGATGGGGCAAATTTCAATTAATAATTACAAGTTTAAAAAATAATAATTTCTCTATTTTGGCTTTAAAATACAAATATTATTTGTATTCAAATGGTTATCTCTATATTATAATATTAAATCAAATATTTTTATCACATTTGCGGTACAAAATTTTGAAACCACATTTTATCATTCCTTTAGAAATTATGAAACAAAAACCAACCTAAACTTTAACTGCTTAGAAATTTAGATTGCTAATAAAAAAATATACAAAAAGGATTTTTTAAGTGCTTCGTTTTTAATGTTTATCGAAATCATTCAGTCCATTATTTTATTATAAAATTTTGTAAGAATTTTTTTCTATATTAATTTTTATAAATAATTTAATTTTTAATGCAAAAAAAATACAAATCTTGACTGCGGATAATAAATAATCTGTTGATAGAAACAATTATAGAAATCTATAATTATTGTTTTCATAAATCAAGTTATTTTCCTTCAGTTATTAGAAAACGTCAGAGCTAGAAGTTGGTCAGGAAAAGAAAAAACCCTGCAAATATGTTCATATAATTATTATTACGTTATAATAATTGCACAGTGGTAAAATACATTTCAGAAGGATAAAGAGAAAAAAAACTAGAGAAAAAAAAACAGTAGAATTTATAATTCGAAATTGATATTAAAAATAAATTTGCTTACATGGGTTTGGGTTTCTCCTCATTCCTCAAGGCAAAATCATTTCCTTACGTAAAAAAAAGAAAGAAAGAAATCTTACTAATGTCATTCAGACTATCGGAATATGTAAATACGTTACGTTGTGTTGCGTACTTTCCACATAGTCTTCAAATCCACCTTTTCAGAATTATTCAGTATTGAAAAATTTGTAATTCATACCAAATATGAATTTGTATTGATTAGAAGGTTTTTGTTATAATTGGTTTGATTTTTGTTTTAGTCCGTTACAAATGTTGCTTATTTTTTGTGATTTATTAATTTTTTTATACTTTATGATGTAGTTTTTTGAATATTTTTATGTAAATGGACAATCACTTTCAACCTGATTTTTTTTATATACACATAATGTCTTTGTTATTTATTATGTAAGAATGGATAGGAAAAAAATATGTAAATTTTTGTGTAGTATTGGGTTTCCAGAAATTAGAAGACGATGTTGTAGGTAAAGAGAATACTTTGTTTAGAGTCGGAAAGAAAGTGTGTGAAGACATAACTGTATAAGCAGGGTTAATGAAGATTTGCGGAGACCGCAGAAAGGTGACTGAAAAATTACTCATATTAATATCCAGCCCGGCCACAACAATGGTCATTTAAGAATGAAGAGAGAGAAAAAAAGTCACCGCCACAACGGATTGAAAGAGGCGGTAATAATAAATGAAAGAAGGATGAATTTTAAGACTTTGCGGTTATCACAAAACGGCTCGACAATGAAATCCAATCGCGCGTCGTGTACATTCAGTTTTTATTTGTAAAACAGCAAGATAAAAATTACAAAGAGAGTATAAAATTACATTTAAAAGTTATAAATCACTTCTTCTCGAGCAACAAATTAAATTTATTGGCCTTGGCGACGGAACCCTTCATGAAGTCAGCTAACTCTGTGCACATGTTGCGCCAGTGCCTTGAGAACTCTAGCTTATCGTAGACACCAGTTTTGGTGACCTCTCTCCACTTGATGGCTTGACTATGGAATCCTTCTATCATTTCTAAAGAGGCGTCCTTGTTTTCCAGCACATCCCATTCGGCTGAGCTTACGTCGACGTCTTCATTGAAGGCGTTGCTTCCATCGATTAATTCAGTAGAAAAGAGATCTTCCATTGGTCCTACATCAGTTCTTGGAGTGCAGTTTCTACTGGATTCGACGTCGTTGGCAACCAACTCTTTGACTCTGTCAGCGTAACGTAGAGTGTTTAAAGAGTGTTCACAAGAAGCAACGCCTGGAGAGATCAAAGCGATCATGCAAGTCCTTGATTTTTCTCCGATAAAGGAGTCCCTCAACACCTGAGTTAATTTGCTTCCTCTGAAAGGACAATGCGTGCCCTTTTTACCTAAAGCCCTAATGCATTCCTTCAAAGCCAATAAGGATTTGTTTATATCGCCGCCTTCAATCCTGGTCTGTCTGTTCGATTTGAAAGTATCAGCTCCACGTTCGTTCCCAGCCAGATCAATCAACGAGAATTTACCAACAACATTTTTAACGTTCCTACCGAATTTCCTGATGATAATTTGGAAAACAGCATGGCTTCGCGAAGAATTAGAGTTAGCCGAGGTTTGTCCAGAGGTCCTTTCGTGTGATCCGCGTTGAATTAGCTCCAGGACATCTTCAACTCTTTCAACCACCTTTTCGGTTAATCCAACCACTTGGACCACTTGTTTACCATCTTCTAGTACTTTGAGACGTTCTTTTTTAGCCAATAGGTCGAATACTAATTTACCGTAGATCTCAAAGAAGCTGGCGGAAACGCAGAAATTTTGGTCCTTATACTTGGAGTGTTGCAAATAGCGAAAGACGTCGTGAGCAACGTAAGCGTAGATACCATTATTGAAATTCTGATGTTTTCCTTTGAATTCTCCTCCCATGGTGTGGGTTTTTCCGGAACCAGTTTGACCATAAGCAAAGCAGGTGGCCATGCCACCTTCAAAGATGGTTTTGACCAATGGTTTCGCCGTGAAGTTGTACACCAATTCGTTGTTGCAAGTCTCATCGAAAACGTAGTCAAATCGGAAGTGCTGGTTATCTAAGTATTTCGTCAAGTCCACTTTGTGCTTGGGTTCGTGTACGATCAGGATGTCCTTTGTCGGCACCGTAATCACATCCACTTCTTTCTTGCCGTACTCTTTATCGTTCAGCGGCCGCTTTCTCACGCACACTGTGATTTGGTTATCAACGACGATATCGGATTCCCTCAGAGGCTGGAACTCGATGTTGTGCCTGTACTCGTTGATCATATTTAGGAATTCCCAGTAAGGATTCCCTTGCTCCGCTGAAAGTATAGCATCCTTTACAGCCTTCTCGTCGGCCTGACGCGCCCTTCTTTCGTCGCGATTCTTAGCGATCAAGGCTATCTCCTTCAAAGGCTTCGATTTCTCATCTTTCCTATAGTTCGTGGGTTTCCTTAACTTCGATGGAGACCTGCTCGGCGACTGGTTGCTCCTTGGCGAATAAGAGTACCGACTATCTGAAACCAAATTCATATTTTTTTGTTTGGGAATTTGTTGGAACAGGCAGACAAAAAAATTAAACTAAACCGAAATTTTTTTTTGGCTCTGACAGATCTGATATAATTTGATTTGCGGCTACTCACTTTTGGACTCCGTTTCTGGGGCGACCGTCCTCAACCATGCGGGAGGCATGCTTTCCCTTGATTTCGAGAGTGGCGCTCCCTCGTTTTCCGGATACCTCGTTGGTCCATTATTGGCAGCCCTTTCCGATACAACATACGGAAACATGTTTGTCAATTCGCTATGTTGTTTGTTTTTTTTTTCACCTAACGTCAGATTCGGGCATTAGTTGCACACGCTCGCACCCTCCTCGCAACCCGCCTAAAACCTAAACAAAAGACGACAAAAAGTTGTAAATAATTGATATTTATTGTTATACTTTTTTTTGAAAAACAAAATTGAAAGTTGCGTCAGGATTTGAATCGACTGGAGGTTGCCGTTATCGTGGATTTTAGGAAGGAAACCTTTCTTTGGGGCCGATAACCGGGACGGATATTTACTTCTACTGCTGCATTGATAAAAAAATATGTATATGTATATGCTCACGTGTTGTTGTGTGTGTGTTTTGTATGTGATAAAAATTGGAAATGGGAAATACGGACTTTCGGCTGTTGCGCAAACTTTGCAGGACTTATCGTCAACATCAAGCTACTTTCGGACGGCAAAAACGCCGCCATACTGTCCATGCCGTCTGCTTTATTATTGACCAAACTTTTACCAAAGTTCCTCCGTTGTCACAGCAAATTATTACCTTTCCCCACCTTCCTTCGTGCCCGTTCCGCTCTACACCAGGACAAATCCCCTTGTTTTATAAGCGCTTTACTCCAACGGATCGCTCATCATTTGCATCAAACTTTTCCACAACACTCATTTCTAACAATCATTTTAAACTAATTACAAAGCAAATGAAGATTTATTGACTTATCAAAATTTCTAAAACAAGTATTTTTAATGTTGAACTAATTATTATTGACAAATATTCAACACTTTAAAATCTTAAATTAAAAAAATATTATTTCCATGAATTTCCAGATTTTCAATTTCCAAATTTTTATATTATTTAAACCATAAGAGTTTAATAAAAACTGATGATTGTCAATGCAATAATTCAAAGTAATTACATGGTTACTCATCGATGCTTAATTAAGGAAGCTTGGCTATAAATAAATCATCCATTGTTTCATTCACTAAAATACACCAATTTGCATCATAATATCCATTACTAATTTTTGTTTTCTTATATCGCTTCCCATTGAATTTACCAAGTACTTATCTCCATGCAACTTATTTTGCAATTAATTATTAATATATTAATAAATGGAAAGACCATTAATAAAAAGTTATATTTTTTATTAAATTTATCTTAAATCGTTCATTTTTTATTGTCTTTTAACATTTATGCAATGTATAATGGTTGCAATATATTTAAATTGTTTTTATTTATGTATTTAGTAAATATTTACTTCAATATTCCAAAATATATTGAATAAACGTGAAGAAATGTTTTAAAATTTTAGTATTTGTTTTACCATTTTACTAATTCATGGTTTTCTTCCTCCTTTCCTTCGAGGTGTTATATCTGTATCTCTGTATCTCTATATACCCAAACTCAAAGGTTCATCTTCATTTACTTACATTTCATTTGATTTTACCAGTTGCACGTTATTTAAGTTTGAAGATGTTATGAATTAGTTTTCTATTGAAAGTACTAATTGAAACAAGAATGATTTCATATACGTTTACAGTATATTTGTTATACAGGTATCTGTTTAAGTGATAGTATTATGACATTTCAATAGATGTCTCTGAACTTCAGAACATTACAAAACTTCTATTATTCCATCTATTTGTGAAATATCTACATTTTATATAATTCAAAAGTAGGTTTGTCAGATTTTTTCATAAAACTGTGAACATATTCATATTACAATATAGTTAAAAATAAATATTTTTTTACACACTATAACAAATTTCAATTATTTTAGTTAAATTGATGACATTTCATAGATTTTAGGTTTATGAAGATAAGTGTGAATTTTATTAAATACTTAATTATATAAAATATTAGTATTTGTCCATGAGACAAGTATATATATTTGTATCTCAGTATTTGTCACTTTTTGATATTGTTTTCTAGTTCAAGTAAAATATAAAGTACTAAAGTATAAATTTTTGGTGAATTCCAGTTTTTAAATATTTTTCTATTTCAATCGACATGATTTTTTCCTGTCTTCTCGTAACTATATTTAATTTACTTATCTATTAATTATTTTTATAATTATAGCATTACTATATAGTAAATCCCATTTATATAATTGGTTTTATATAGACCATTGGTCTATAATACTCAAGTATAGATTTCTTCTTGTCGATTACTGAAACGCATCAAAAGTTAAATACAAATACCCAATTATGTTTGAGTTCCTGTCCCATAGGTGAACTTATGTAACAACTGCATAGGCAACCCAATATACTCATACACCAAAACTTATGCAACTTAAACCATCTACCGTATTATTTTTGAAACTTATATAATATAGTAAAGTTACAAACCGTTAAAGTTAAAAAAAAGTTATTTGATTGTAACAGTTGAGCGAAGGATGAAGAAGTTGGACAGTTCTTAGTCTAATAATTGACTATGAGATGGTAGTAAAATAGTTTAGATATTTTTCAAATTTATACAAAACAATTTAGTTTTCTTAATGATTAATTAAATATTAACTAAATATTTAACTTTGATTCAGAACATCAACAAGATTCTTGTGATATTCTTCGATAAAAAGTTTCTTTATTAAAACATTTGAAGATATTCAAGAAATTATCAACTTTAATGATTATTTCAATTAATTTCTTCTATTTTATTTAACCAAAAAAATAACATTTCCATATAATAATAAAACAATAAAGTCAACTGCTGCAAAGGTTTATTTGGATTAACTAACTCTAAAAGTCTATATTCAAATACATTATAAACTATAACAAATGATTAATAATGTAGACTTCATTAGCACAGAATTATTAGTTAATGATTGACAATTAATATTCAATACGTAAAATAGTAGTTCTATTAATATATTCATTTGTATTTAGATTTTTAAATCTGATCAATTCATCTGCATTTTACAAGATTCCCCAAATTGCTTAACTTTCTAAATGTACTATTTCTTTTTATTGATTTTCTTATTCATTTTGTATACATTTTCGATAAATTGGATTGAAAATTAGTGGTTCTAAAAAAAGATAGTAAATTTTTCTACTTTCTAATAAACGAATATATTTTAGATAATATGTAAGTTTTATATTAATATGTAAGAATATATGACATGAACATAATTATTTCATACTAAACTTGAATGTTTAATGGTTGTTTGCATAATATATTTCATGGTTTTTAATGTACGTGAGAATGATTTAAATAAACGTGAGTTACATAAGATGTTGTGGAGCCAATTGGAGGAATAATGGTAAGGAACTAGTTTTTACCACGGAGGTAAACCGAAACAAGCCCAGAAATCCAACCCCTTGTGTGCGCGTTCTCTCCGGGTTTGGCAACCCCTTTGCAAGCGGCGCACAATGCTCAAACCCTTCCCAGTGTGTGTGTGTACCCTAATAATACAAGAACGTAAATATATTATGTAAGTTTTGGACCCTCGATGAGAATAGAATCAATGGGCCAGAAGGGGGCACTAATTCTAATAATACAGCGGCGTTGACATATTGCGAAATAAATTAATTTCCGCACAGAATGCTCCCAAATTTTCATCTTCCTTTTCTTCTTCTTTGAGATCAAAACTTTCTTTTGGTGATCGTTGAATAGGAAGAGTAGGAAACTGTTTACGGAAAAGTGCTACCAATCTCGACGACATTGGTCGCATTCAGATGTCGAGATGGTACAATACCACCCCTGGCTTCCGGTCTTATTATGGTGTCAACGCGATCCAATTCAAAGCGCCCCCAAAAGTATACAGCAAACGCAGATCGCAGCCAAATAAAATGAGAGGAAAAGAGACGCAGGATAAACAAAAGTTTCTTTTTTTTTGTGATATTTCGCTGCAGCCACCCTTGATATCTAAATGATACAAATGTCACAAAAGCAGCTGCCACTTGAAGGACTCAAGGAACCTAAACCGAAGCCTGCAATATTTGCTTAAGAAACAATAATTAATCCAGTGGCCTCAAGCCTTTCCCTTCCAATAAATCTTTATTAACCTCAAGCAGAAACAAACCGACGAAAGGGATATCTTTTGAATCCGTGAGGATATAACACACACAAAAAAAGGAACGGAGGGATTTGCCAGTCAGTAACCTGATATAAAATATAACTGTCAGATTAGAATCAGAAACTGTTTGTTGAATGGGGGCCTCGTTTTTTTCATCTCTCTCTCTGCACATCCATTCATTGGCCCTGAAAGGGGTGCTTTTGCTGTTGCTTTTATTCTTCATTAAAACCATCCGCTCCTTTCATTCATTATTTCTTGTGGGTCGCCAAATACCTCAATGAACTGGGCATCACCTGTAAAAAAAACATACAAACATAAGGCTTACGATTATTTTGGCAACACGTCTATAAAAAATATCATGTAAGAACGCTTTTATAATGGACTCCTTCTTTTCTCCCAAAAAAAGGGAAATAAATTGTAGTATTGTTGGATTTTACATTTTTTATAGCGAATGTGACATTTATAAAGGATCCCACGCCTCAAGTATTAAATAGATGATTTATTTCTATTGAATGTATCGTTTCTTGTCAACCAACTTTATTTCCTTAAATAATAAAAACACTCTTATGTGAGATTTTTTTTCTGCATTAGTGCTATTCAGTGAAAATATATAAAAACTATGATTTTTAACATCAAAAATAGGCGTGGGATTTCTAGTATTAAAATTCAATTGATTTTATATAAATTTTGGCTACTTTTTATTAGATATTGTTGAAATATAAATTAATTGTTATGACTTTCTTAAATTGTTATTATAAACAATGTAAATACATTAGTACCTCTCATAATGTGGGTAACCAATATCCCGCACTTTAAAAATGCATTAAAATAAACAACACAAAAAGAGATATGATTGTATATACTGAATAATTTTTTTAATGTATTTAATTAGAATTTTGGTTGTAAATTCGTACAGATCGAAGCCCTATTAAGTGAGGTAATTTATAAAAATGAAATCTAAAATAATTTTGTTTTTCTTTTAAGAATTGTTTCTTTTAATTAATGAAA